CTGACAACAGTATCGTAACTATATCCCTTCTCAATAAGTCTGTTTAAAGGTTTTGTTAGCTTTTGAGGTGAATACTGACATTTTTGTGCTTTGTAAAGAATATTACCATAAAAGATTGGATGTGAAATACCCGAACGTATAAGATGTCTGCATGTTGAGTTATATGTACGAATGATGTCCTTATACCGATGATAAAATTTAGTAAATGTTTTGACTAGTTTATGATATCGAAAACCTTGGTGTAATAATTGTTCAGTAATACATAAATTTCTCTCGCTAAAATCTAATACGTTGTTACATACACGAACGAATCGTACAAGTTGAGATATATAAACACCATTAGATGGTGACAAGGGAAAGTCACCATCTAAAAATGGATAATTAACGATAGGAAATGAAAAATCATCTCTTTTATCATAAATTTTTGTATTAAGCTTCCCGTTAATGATATAGATATCAAGATCGAGGAAAGGACAGTGGTCATTGTTAGTATTACCTTTGATTAAAGTAAGTTCAACAGGATAAATTTATTTAGTATACACACTGAAGTCGTCATTATTGAGAGCCAATATATCATCCAAATATCTAAAAGTATTGTAATTTTTTTGTATCAGATGTTGTTTCGAAGGGTCTTTGCTGATTTTAGTCATAAATTGTAATCATAACAATACAACAACAGATCCGCAATAAGTGGTGCACAGTTAGTCCCCATTGGAATTCCGATAACTTGACGATATACGGAATCTCCAAAGCAAACAAAAATGTTATCAAGTAAAAATTCAAGGGCAGATATAGTATCAAAGCATGTCCAATTGACATAGTTCTTTTGTTTGTTGCCACTAAAAAATGACCTACAAGAGTTTGAACATATGTATTCGCATTCCGACGTTTTAAATGCCCATTTAATTAGGTGTGTGAATTTTTTCTTAATAAGAATATGAGGCAAAGTGGTATATAGGGTAGAAAAATCTAAACTTTGAACAGATTCAAAATCACCAATATATGCATGCAATTTATCAAGTACTTCCAACGAGTTTTTGACACTCCAAAAGTAATAAATTCCACTGTTTTCGAAGGCCTTATTTGAACAATTTATTATCAGGTTTTTGATTGTACCAAGTGTACTAGTAAGTAGAATAGACAATTTAGAAGTGGAACAATGACTTGAAGACGAATTAAATCTATATTTGTAAGGTGATTTGTGTAGCTTCGGAAGCCAGTACATAGTTGGGACTTTCATTGTATTTGGTTCTGCTTGTAAAGAAGTAGCTAATAGTTTATGTTTGTTACAGATATCGTTTTCTGAAAATTAAGTCAGTTGGAATGTTGGTGAATTCGTGATTTCCTTTTGCAGAACCTCAATGTAAAATTTACGTAAAACTATAATGATATTATTAGCAGCTTTATCAGCCGGGACAAAAACAAATCCCTTGGCTAGTTCTTTTAGTTTATGTTTGATACGAGAAATAGAATTTTTATGGTTGTTGTTAAGAGTAAAATGGTCTTTAAAATGTTGTATACGTATAACAACTATCTTCATTACTGAATTAAAAAAAAAGTCCAAAGATTTTTCGTCAGCATTTTCCCGTTTTATCCATTTCAAACAGTAAGCACGAAGTGAGTCGTGGATGATATTACGACACTCATTCCAATTAATAATTGACGGGGGGCGATATCTAGGTCCTTTACTGAGGAATGATTTTAACTCTCGGTCTCCTGTTATAACATGAGAAATGGGGCCATAAGTGTATTCGGAATTACTACAATTACATGACGTAGGTGTATTTTCACTGATATTTACATTTTTACAGACTTGGCTATAATTAAACACAAATTTCCGGGTAGATTTCTTGTAAATATAACAAATAAGAGGGAGTTCAGTATTATCAAAATATCCAGGAATTTGTTCTTTAACAGAATGGTCGTTAAAAATACCGACAATATTTACAAAATCAAAACCTTTATTGACATACTTTATTTTAATAAAATGTTTTTTATGATCTTCACTATTACGTAAAAATAATTTTCAACAAACGCTCCGTTAAGTTTATCTTACCCTTAGGACAAACAGATAAAAATATTCAGAAAATTGCAGTTGAAATCTCGCAAACGTAATAAAGTTCGTATGCAAATATGAATTCCTGTCAAAATTAAAATTCGCACAAATATAGGTCACCATTATGAAAAACTAGGTGGGAAAATATAAGTTAAAACGAGATAACAACAAATCTAAATTCACATGTTCGAATAATCTTCTTGCATAATTCAAGTGTTGCAAAATTAACATACAATTCGTTCGTAAATATTAAGAATTTCGAATGAAATTTCAAAACGAGCTTCTAAAATGATTCTTCCTTAGAATTACAGATAGAGAATAATTGGTATACTTTCCAGTCGTAAATTACCCTTTATTTACATTTGCCTTAATTTATATAGATTCACAAGGAAAAACACTAAAGACGTTCCCAGATAGTATTATAGACTATGAACAGAGATATAGGTCCTCCTAGTAGCGCATATGGAATGACACATCGTTGAGATTCATCTTCTATATTTGTTGTACCACTAACAAACTGTAACTACGAACAAATACACATCTTTAGTGTAACAATGTTTGATGGTGACGTTCCTTTTTCGTAATTTGCTGTATCTGCTGACAAAATATACTTCTCTAAAACAAACAATCATATTATAGTTTGCTGTGATAGTAGTGGATCACGCACATGATTGTTTTTTTTAAGATGTCTTTATGTTTAAAGAAGCAAGTGGAATGACAGCGGATGATGATGGAAAGTTGTAAGTTATTAGAGGAAAGGCGTAGAATATGTTTGTCATATCTAGAGATGGGAATGACCACAAAGATCTTCTAATCGTAAAAGACAGTCTTGGTTTTCCGTGCAGTATTTTTTTTGACAAACAGAGCCAAATTTGTTTTATTGCAAATTTGACATTAAAATATTTCTTCGACATATTTCACGTGTCTAATGTGGATGCAATCAGACTTAAATGAGAAAAAATGTATCATAATCATATGTTTTACCTTACATTAATTATACTTATTTATGTTTATAAACATTATTTATTGTAGATGAAGATAAGCGCCTTAGAGATTGTAAATGCAAATCGAATTTTTTTTGTTTGCATAGTTGACATTTACAGTTTCGAATTGTATGAAATTTATTAGATTATTAAATTCAAATTCTTAAAAACGTCCAGAAGTACCAATGTTGTCTACCTGTCCATCTTGCACGTAAAATTAACACCGTGAAATATTTGTACAATCAATATTTACTTTATACAATAACCCCTATGTTAGTAAAGGTGATGCACAAGTCCATTTTTTCTGAGGTCCGTATCACAAAACGAGCCTTTTCGAAGCCTACAACACATATACAAAGATTTTGTTTTTCTATTTTAAAACTAAAAGTAACCCACGGAACACTTGAAGAAAATGTTAATAAACTAATGAAAAATCATGAGCATCAATGTTTTTGTGATGGTATGACTTACTGTTGGAGTTTTGTTTTTTTTTTCTAAATTTCATTCCTACGTATTTACCAGTAATGTTTTAACAATCATGATTAGATATACATATCATAAAATAGGAATTGTACTGGTATTCTTTGTATTGAAAGAGATATGGGTCTTAATCAAGACGACAATAAACAAACCATAATAAAATTTATTTTTAGGAAACTCTTTTGCCTGTGAAATAAAACCAAACAAGAGGAAAAGGATGCTGACACAATGTTATTCAACAATGCAAACGAGAGGAAAAAAGAAACCAATGATATATTCAAACTCATATGTCGAAAACATACTGACAATGCCAGTGCAAAAAAAAAACGGAATGACAAACGGCAGTACACAAAACACAGCATAAAAAAACTAAAGACTGAGCTTAAATTACTCCAAAAAACAAGATGATCTAAGGTGTTCCGATTGGATAATCAGATCCTGCTTCCTATGTGACATCCCGTCGTGCTGCTCATGTAATTACAGACTTGGTTATAAGTCTAATTCGGCCAGTAACATTCGGGAAAAAGAGGATGGGATTGTGCTTACTGTGAAACAGATAACGGTCAACCAACTCGTGGTGACGGCCGTAGAATTTTCGAAGGGACGATTCCAACTTAGAACTCTTGGCTCAACAGCTTCCTTGTAAGCCTCAAACCTCTATCAAAGATATTATGATAGGAAATACAAGCCATAGAATTATATCGTATCAACTTGAAGATATATAAATGTACTCCATACACTGGCGCTGCTAGAATGATGCTACATAGAAACGGAAAATTTACAATTGTGCTGAAATCATCTCTATATCTTTTCTTTTAAAAGATTGTTCTCAATCGACCCTCGTCATCAAATTCAAGATGTACGTGAAGATATTAGGCAGACTTAACTGTATCTGTTTTAGCCTTTATTTCAAGTTTGATTAGATAGATGATTTCAACATAGTCACCAAACTTTGAATTATTTAGCGAAAGGACACCATCTATATAGTGGAACGTGGAGTTGAAGGATAATGCTAGCTTTTTTGTCACTTTTTCGAGGAAGCTCCTGTATAAAGTTGGTCTAATATGAATAAAAGTCGGCAAGAAGATGAGCAAAGTTGGTTCCCAAGGGTAAAAGATAATAAAAGGAGATGTGGGAGTATCCGTGATAGAGTTATCCAACAAAATAGAAAAAACAATCTTGAACATTTTTGTCCGTCGATGTGCTGTTTTTTTTCTCTATCTCCACTGAGGGGAATTCGTACAATTATAGATACCTTTAGCAGTATTTGACAAAACTTATTGGAATTGTGATTCCTCAATCCCCTTCAATTTCTACCTTTATTTGGAAGTTTTAATTTGTATGATTCGAGTGTTCTGATGGTTCTTTTGTTGACGAAACGAGCGTCTGGCGTTACAATTGTAATCCTGGTATCTATGATGATTTAATTTACCCTTGTGAGAGAAAGACAATTTTACTTATTAGCTGTTAAATGTTGTGCCTCAGACATGAAATTTTATTTGAAATAAGTGACTTCAATTTTCATAATTCCCTTCAAATGTTTTACGCATGATCATACAAGTCAATCAATGTCATATCTGTCCCTTGGTTTTAATTAGTGATCCGTTTGCTCACTTGGTTGCACATTTTAAACGTTATGTTTGCCTAATAGGAAGGTCGTGTGCTTATTTATTACATTTCGTCAAACTATTAAATGGCATGTAGTTGAACTTGTTATTTATTTTAGTTACATTGTATAAAGCCATTGTCGAAATAGATGTAAAGTGAATATAAATAATTAAGAAGTGCAGTAAATAAAATGTAGAATTATTCCGAATTTATATTAAATTCTTCGTCATCTTGTGAATGTTTATAAGTCGAAACTATTTTAAATTAATGAATATATCTTCCTCATGCAAAGCTATGATTCCTTTCCCAGGTTTCGCTATACTTTTTGTCCTTTTTTTGTATTTGAGCTCTTCTTTTTCAAGGTTTGGATTTTCAAATATGTTGGCCTCTAATATTACTGAAGACACATTTATTGTCGAATTACGCATCTGGTGCAGAAAATTTGGTACCGATAATGTTATTGAACTTTAACAAACAAAGGACATTAGTTGTTGACTCTGTTCACTATTAATGTTAAATGTGCAGTTATGTGGATAATATACGATGTAGCATTTATTTATGAAGGAATGTGCACATCGTATGTTAACTGAAACCATTCCAATTTACAGCACATATTTAAGAATTCCAACTGTTGCTATGGTGATGACAATGGAGATAACTCTTTGGAAGGGCACAACTGCTCCAGAATCTGAAATTAAGGAAGATACAAAGTAAATATTGTTTCTGAAGTCATTTAAGTCAACATGGCGTTGTCAGTTTGTTTTCGATCTATGAGTTTGACTGTCCCTCTGATATCTTTCGTCCCTCTTTTATGTAAACTACATGAACTAATTACTTTGTTCTTTGCCCCAAATCTTGTTAAAATGATTTAAAGTAAAGACCAGAATTCTTTTATATGGTGTAGAACATCACTTGTAAGTCATGTAGCGGAAAATATGAAACAACTTTAAAAAATGGAAGACAAAACTAATAATCTTTATCATTGATAATGAGAGTAAACACTTGAAGCACCTGAAATAACAAAAATTTCTTTCAAAGTATATAAGCTCGCTTTAGTGTTCATTTTATGCTTTATGTGTTGTATACAATAATGAGATGTGGTATGATTGCCAATGAAAAAACTATCCAACAAAGTTCAAATGAAGTAGATGTAAGCAATTATAGGCAACTGTACGGCCTTCAACAATGAGAAAACCCCATACCAGGCGGCTATAAAAGGCCCCGACATGAAAAATATGAAACAGTTCAATTGAAAAAACTAACGGCTTAATTTATAACAAAACAATTTACGAAAAACAAATATGACAGACATGAACCAACGACAACCACTAAATTGCATGATCCTGACTTATATAGGTTTGTATTTGCGTTCTTAAAACTTTATCATTTTCGGGTTTTGATAATAACTCATGAGAAAATTTATAATATTATTGATATGAAACGTGAAGAGGTATACCAAAGTTTTTGGGAATCTAAACAAGACCAAATAAAGACAGGCGAACATAACGAAAATGTCATGCCCTATTTAGTGAGATCGGAACCCGTCAACGATAATCGACGCCGCCCTGCAAAGCACCTCTCATGTTTTTATGCTTAACTCTTTTTCGGTAGCATGGGTCAGTAAACGAAAAGATCAACAGTAGCAATACAATAAGTTGGACGAGAAAAAGCATGTTAGAGAGTGTTTTATTTATTTTGGTCGAATTTGGTCATTTTTCCTCATAACCCTATTAATCTATGATACTAGTATCGGGTCCTTGTCCTTTACACATCATTAAATGAAAACAACGCTTGAAATAACACAGAAGCCAAGAAGGGACACAACACCTTAGTGACACTATGTAACATACATAACATTACGTTTAGTTTAGAGATGTCCATCTTTGTATATAGCAATCGTGTCATGGTTATACCAGGCAAATAGAATGTAAAGTATCTTTATTAGTGCCGATGTTTCTTGTACACAGTATTTTAATGTATTTAAGAAATTTGATTGTAAGAAAGGGACCTCATTCATCCTACAAGTACCCCATGGGGTAACTAAATCACTTTTGGAAAATATATATATATACAAGTCTGAAACGAAATGTTAAGTACGACGCTTAAATCAAAGAAAAACGAAGCAAGCAAAACGATTTTTCTGCTCGTTACGATAGAAAATTAGAAATACTAATTTTTTTATTGACATGACAGCCTGCATTTAAAAAATGGTCAATAAGTGTTTTAAAGACATCAAGATACATTCAAAATCATAGAGAATTCAAAATAAGACCAGGATTTGTGAAAAAAGAGCTAACCCTTCCATTTTTAAAATGCTTTGAACATGGATCAAATAACCGGTAAAGTTTCAAGAGACGTTTTGTGTTCAAATGTATAAACAAATGCCTAAAACACTTTGAAACTAATATAGACTGTCAACAGTACAACATAAATCTTACCAAAGTTTAACACAACAAGCTGGGCGACTGGCGTTGTCGTTGTTGTTGTTGTAGGTATCGATTGTGTCGTTGATGTTGTTGTTGTTGTTGGTGGTGTTGATGATGTTGGTGTTGTTGTATGTGTCATTGTTGTAGTTTTTGTTGTTGTGGTTGATGATATTATTGTTGTTGATGCAGTTGGTGCAGAACTTGATTGCACATTACTGCTGGACGGTGGTGACATATTAATGCTTGACTGTGATGGCACAGTACTGCTGGTCGGTGGCATATTACTGCTGGACAGTGGTGGCATATTACTATTGGGTGTTGGCATATTACTACTGGATGTTGGCATATTACTGCTAGACGGTGGTGGCATATAACTGCTAGACGTAGTTGGCATATTACTGCTGGACGTTTGTGGCATGGTATTACTGGACTGCGATGGCATAGTACTGCTGGACGGTGACAAACTACTGCTGGATGGTGGTGGCTTATTACTAATAGATGGCGGCATATTACTGCTGGACGGTAGTTGCATATAACTACTGGACGGAAGTGGCATAATACTGCTGAACGGTGGTATGTTACTTCTGGTCGGTGGAGGCATATTACTGCTGGACGATGACATATAACTGCTGGACGGTAGTGGCATATAACTGCCTGGCGGAGGTGGCATATTACTGCTGAATGGTGGCATATTACTACTGGACGGTGAAGGCATATTACTGCTGGATTGAAGTAGCATATTACTGCTGGACGAAAGTGGCATATTACTACTGGATGGAGGTGACATATTACTGCTAGACGGATATGGCATATTACTGCTGGACGGATGTGGCATATAACTATTGGAAAAGGAAGTGCCATCATAACTTGAATGTAGTGAAGCATAATTACTGGAGGATGGTAACATGGGACTGTTTGGTTGCATATTACTGCTTGATGGAAGCGGCATATAACTGCTAGACATATGTGGTAAATTACCGCTGGACGATTGTGGCATATTACTGCTAGACGGCTGTGGCATATTACTGCTTGACACATGTGGCAAATTATCATTTGAAAAGGTCGTGTCATCATAACTTGAGTGTACTGGAGCATAATTACTGGAGGATGGTAACATGGAACTACTTGGTTGCATATTACTGCTTGACGGAACCGGTGTATTACTGCTAGACGGAAATGGCATATTACTGCTAGACGGAGGTGGTATATTACTGCTAGACGCATGTGGCATATTACCATTGGAAAAGGTTGTTCCATCATAACTTGAGTGTAGTGGAGCATAACTACTTGAAGATGGTAACATGTGACTACTTGGTGGCATATTACTGCTTGACGGGTGTGGCATATTCCTGCTAGACGGAGATGGTGTAGTACTGCTAGACGCATGTGGCATATTACCATTGGAAAAGGTTGTTTCATCATAACTTGAGTGTAGTGGAGCATAACTACTTGCAGATGGTAAAATGTGACTACTTGGTGGCATATTACTGTTTGACGGGTGTGGCATATTACTGCTAGACGGAGGTGGTGTAATACTGCTAGACGCATGTGGCATATTACCATTGGAAAAAGGTGGTCCATCATAATTTGAGTGTAGTGAAGCATAATTATTTGAAGATGGTAACATGTGAACACTTGGTGGCATATTACTACTTGACGGGTGTGGCATATTACTGCTGGACAGATGTTGCATATAACTGCTAAACAGATGTGGCACATTACTGCTGGATGCATGTGGCATATTACTGCTAGACGGAGGTGGTATATTACTGCTAGACGCATGTGGCATATCACCATTGGAAAAGGTTGTACCAACATAACTTGAGTGCAGTGGAGCATAACTACTTGAAGATGGTACCATGTGACTACTTGGCGGCATATTACTGCTGGACGCATGTGGTATGTTACCAGATGTAGTTGGTTGCATTTGGTCACTTAAACTAGCACCGTAAGTAGCTGTGTCTTGTGGATAAGTTGTACTATATAATTGTGACGATGTTGGTATCATTAAATATGGCGCGCATGAATAACAACAATCAACTGGTACGAGCGAACAGTAATTCGGAGAGTTCGCTACCATATCTGAACATGACCAGCCGTTTGTAAATATTGGTCCCAATCTATCTCCATACAAACAGGATTCTACAAAATAAAATAAAAAAATGATATTTTTACCAAGGTTGCCATTTTTCTTCATTAAACGAGACAATATACAAAATAAAAGTGAAAGTATTTCCAAAGTATTCAATTCAAGCGATGTCTTCTTCCTGTCATATCTACTTTGTTCATTGCGGTAGCTTTTAAATGAACGGCACCTATGAGTTTTAGAACTTATTTTTTTAGTAGTATAAGACCTGAAGTAACAAGTAATTTTAACAATAGGGTGAACGTGTATACCATCGTCTACTGTTTAACAATATGTAAATGAAAATAACACTTAAAATGTTGTGCGTCCGACGTGCTTTACTGTTTAACAATATGTACAGTCAGTATTCTTTTCGCCAAAATTATCTCCCCATTACGCCACCTAATTTACATAATCGTAAAAATGGAAGCCATTGTAGTGATGACGCGCTGTTCATTTAGCTCTTGAAAATCGATAAATGTATCCACATAGCATCATTACGATCCTTATATGACAGTTTTATTTTAAAAGATAAATGTATCTACTAGCTATTTAGAATCATTTAATGTACTTTTATGCATTTGTTCAACTTAAATCTACTATCTGATCGGTTGTCAGGGGGAAGTATCGAAAGTTTAAAAATATTTAAAAAAAATCTAATTAAATATTTCGTAGAAGGGCAGACAAAAAATTTTCAGTTGAAGACTAATTATCCTAGATAACACACACAAAAACTGAAGTTTTTTGAAGATATGCATTTTAAAGATCCACTTGAAAAGCCTGTCGTCAAGTACTTTTAGTAAAAATTTGTTATTCGAACACACCAATTCTGCTGTTATGACTCATTCGAAAGGTATTTCACTTGACCCATATATTATATTTTAATTTTTTAATATTATTATATCAACCCAGAGCCTTAATATATAAAACTAATAGAATCTTAAGCGAGTTGATATATGAAATATTTTTTATACGTTTTCAAGACAGATTAGTCAACTCAAAGACGCCTTAACATAAAAAAAGTGTACTCGACTTTCTCTTTTTGATGATAATTTTGCCCATTTTTTGGATTTTTTCCCCAAACCCGGTCGCCGGGGGCAGAGATGTAAATAAATGCCTTTAACAGATCAATCTAATTCATGCTTATGCAAAAAAAGATCCACCTGTATTTGCACCTACCACAATCGACTGTTTTGTAAAAATGTGTCTATAATTTAAAAGTTTACAAACATCCCGAAACTCCATACCATAATTAAAGTAAAAACACATACATAATATGCATAAAATCCTAAATAAGGCCCATCATTAAACGATTTTTCCACCAGTGACCAAATGACGTAAACGTTACCAGAAAGTAAAATAAGAAAAATACCGAACTCCAAGGAATATTCAAAACGGAAAGCCCCTAATCAAATGGCAAAAGCTCAAACACATCAAACGAATGGATAACAACTGTCATACTCCTGACTTAGTAAAAGCATTTTCTTATGTAGAAAATAGTGGATTGAACCTGGTTTTATTACTAGCTAAACCTCTAACTTGTATGACAGTCGCATAAAATGTCAACAATAGGGGAACAGCAGTCACCATTGTGTTATAATCTTAATAACTATAAAACAAACAAATCTGTCATCAAAGACAAACAAAAAGACAAATATGAAAAGTACATTAGAAAAACAAAAGACACGAATACAAATATTTCCCATAGCACAATAACACAATGACGGGATGGTATAGTACCGAGCCACGTAAAATGGATATTACCAAAAATAAACTAAACAGAAAAAGTAACAATTTACAACAGTAATGTAGGTTACTGTATTAGACTTACCATCGCCCAAAGGCGCTGATGAATCTGTTGTACATACACCAGACAAACACCACTGTAAAATATAATAAAAGAAGTGAACTGTTTTATGAAATGGTTTCAAATACATCATCTTGATTATTGCCAAAAACGTTTTCAAGTACGAACTATTTTGTTGCCATATTTAGTATATACATATATATATATATAAACAAGTCTTAATTGAAAACAACGTTCAAACCTATGATTGGGTTGGATAAAAACCGCAATTTTTATACGTGTGCATGCAAAACAAATTTCTTGGTAGAGGGGTCTAAATACAGCACAAACAACATTTTCCAAAATATCAAAAAAGTGAAAAAGTATATTTTAACAAAACGCATTTGACTAACAGGTCGAACAACAAATGTTCTTAAACCCTGCTGACTGCCATTGGCGATATATCTATACTATTAAACGAGAAGACCTCATTTTGTGTGTCGCTTCTCTTCTTTCCACAATAAATTAATCATCATGCCTCTGTGTCCTGTAGGTACCATGCAAAGTCGCATTCGTCCTCCTCGCTTATGATTATTCTGTTTGGGTTTTTTTGGGAGGAAAACGAAAATAAAGGCGTCCGGATATTGTTTCCGTCATCGGACAAGACTTCCTATTAGGACTGTTTAAAATTACACATAATTTTCATAGGTACTTGGGGACAGGACAATTATTTTCGCGTTTTTCTGTATACTATGAACATACATATACTATAAATAAAGTGTATTTCCTATTTACTATCAATTCCAAGTTTATATTATATAAAGAGTCAGTGACCGCCGTGGATAGTAAACTTGGAATTGATAGTAAATAGCAAATACACTTTATTTATAGTATATGCATGTTCATAGTATACAAAAAAACGCGACAATAATTGAAATTAATAGAAAACAAAAAATAACGGATTTTGGAAAAAAGGGGGAGGGCCAAAAAACAATTATCCTGTCCCCAAGTACCAATGACTTTTGATACCTTTCCTGAAATTCTCCAGTCCTAAAATCTTTTTAGGAAAATTCATCCTACAACAGTTTACATACTTTCAACCACGCTCTAAATGCCCGCAATTTCGCGTGTGTGTTCTAGTATATATATAAATGAAGAAAAAAATCTGTAAATTCTTTTGACAAAAACATGTTTTTTTGTATTATTTTTCCATCAAAAGTATTGAAAACATTTGGTCACATGCACTTTTTATTTTTTAACCCGATTGCAATCTGTAAAGACGTAGTTTAAGGTTGGCCTCTTATAATCGGTTATTGAATCCACTAATACCTTGTTATTTCCACACAGCGTTCCATCTGTGACTGTAGCTGACAGACAACTAGACGTATTCGTAGGATTTGCACACCATAAGTTTGTACAAATAGAAGTAAAGTCACCGTTGTATGGTCCCTGGAACAAATGATTAATATTTAAGAAATTCCTTAGTACCGATTTGTCCAAAAAATATGAAATATCCGTTCTAAAGACTTAGTTTAAAAACCTAACAGTTATGTAGATAGATATAAGAAGATGTGGTATGAGTGCCAATGAGACAACTCTCCATCCAGTTCAAAAATTATAAAAGTAAACCATTATACGGTCTTCAACACGGAGCCTTGGCTCACACCGAACAGCAAGCTATATGCCTTGTTTGTATAGCAATACATTTATAATGCCTGTTTTATTCATGCATAGCTTCCAATGCTTCCTGATGCAACATGTGGAGCAGGATCTGCTTACCCTTCCGGAGCACCTGAGATCACCCCTAGTTTTGTCCAAAAAATATGAAGTATCCGTTCAAAAGACTTAGTTTAAAAACCTAACAGTTATGTAGATAGATATAAGAAGATGTGGTATGAGTGCCAATGAGACAACTCTCCATCCAGTTCAAAATTTATAAAAGTAAACCATTATACGGTCTTCAACACGGAGCCTTGGCTTACACCGAACAGCAAGCTATGTGCCTTGTTTGTATAGCAATACATTTATAATGCCTGTTTTATTCATGCATAGCTTCCAATGCTTCCTGATGCAACATGTGGAGCAGGATCTGCTTACCCTTCCGGAGCACCTGAGATCACCCCCAGTTTTTGGTGGGGTTTGTGTTGCTAAGTCTTTATTTGTCTATGTTGTGTTTTTGTACTATTGATTGTCTGTTTGTCTTTTTCTTTTTTAGTCATGGCATTGTCAGTTTATTTTCGATTTATGAATTTGAATGTCCCTGTGGTATCTTTCGCCCCTCTTCCAAAAGTTGACTTCATCAAACATAGAACATGATAGATTAAAATCTTGAAATTTTGAAATTTGGCAGAGAATGAATAAAGGAACAATTATCTCTTATTTTAAGGCCTGATTGATAAAAAGTTTGGTACTCAAGTATATGTTTTACCTTGAAACCATTGCACATTTACAATCCCTGAACAAATATAAAAAGACTAATACACTTTAATTTCCCATCCAATCAATACGTTAGAACGCAGAGAAATACGTATTGTTTTCATCCTTATTATAGATTCATGACCTACATCATATTTCAGCTTAACACATAACATGTATTTATCTTTTTATTTCCATATCACCTCTTTGGTTTGAATGTTCATTATGAAGTTTAATCCAGGAAAATGCTTCGGACGAACACAATATATAGTGTTATTTTCATTCACTTGCACTGGGTCGATACCATTGTTGTTGGGCTGTATAAGTCCCCGAGCGTATCATCAGGTCAAATATCAGAGTTGTTGTACTGACATGATTTATAACACTTTTTTTTAATTCTCTATTGATTAATTATGAAATTACTAAGAGACTAGGGTTCCAAATATCTCAGGCAAAGTTGACCTCAGGTCAATTTTACTTTTCGTTTCAGATCTTTTTGGGTTTTCAAGCTCGTCACGTGTTTGTTTATTTATACATCCTTGGTTTGCAACTTTTTGGTTCGATAGTTTCTTGTTAAGGAAAATCCAGTTAGATTTACTTACCCGGCACATGAATGATCCAGCGCCACGATTACTTTCACATTGTGAATCTACATCCAGAGCTTGGAGTGGTACGCTGCTTGTTGACGCAGGTGGCAAGGCACTAGTTGTCTCTAAAGTAGTTACCGTTGTCGAAGATGATAAGGTAGTTGTAGTTGTTAAGTATGGAGCGCAAGAATAACAACAAGTTATGGCATTATTAGGACAGTTATTTGGAGCATTTGTCACCATATCTGCACATGTCCAACCATTGGTAAATACTGGTCCTAACTTATCTCCATATAAACAAGATTCTACAAGAACAATATTCAATGGTACATTTAAAATTGAGAATGGAAATGGGGAGTATGTCAAAGAGCACACAACAGACGAAAGCCACCCATGGGTCTTCAGCTCAACGAGAAAATCCCGCACCCGGAGGTGGTCCTCAGCTGGCCCCTAAATAAAATTGTGTACTGGTTCAGTGAAAATGGACGTCACCCTAAACTCCAAAACATATAAATGAACTAAAATTTTAAAACATACAAGACTAACAAAGGCCAGAGGCTCTTGACTTGGGACAAGCGCAAAAATGCGGCGGGGTTAAACATGTTTTATGAGATCTCAACCCTCCCCTATGCCTCTTACCAATGTAGAATAAAGAAACACATAGCAATACGCACAGTAAAACTAAGTTTAAAAGAAATCCGAGTCCGATGTAAGAATAGGTAACAAAATAAACTTACATTGAATAAGAATAGAATAGGTTAAACATCAATGAGACAGCAATCTTACAATGAAGTTATATCAAATTTATTCCGGAAATAGTACTTTGTAATTTCGTTGGCAATATAAGAACGAATTTAAAAAAATAACAAAGGCTATTTCACTCTTATTAATTTGGAAAAAAAGAAACTGGCATGGGGCATATTAATAAGGTATTAAGCACTAGTTTTCCAGTCAGTCAGTAAGTCAGTAAGGTTATATATATGACTTCAAATATATTTAACATAACACGTTTTCTTTGGTGTTTCCAAGGTTTAACCCTCTGCATTACTAGGAATACTCATTCATTGCAGCGAATTTGGTAAGTTTTTGTTAGTCCATTGGAGATCGAGCTATACGAGTTCTTCGTACTGGAATCGTTAGCATACATGTGTATTACACTTTTACAACAACACACATGTTCTCCATCTTTGTTGTCATGAACAAAGAAAACAAGACGTAGTTATGACATTTAGAACACACCAATGTCCATTTGTGACACAGAGATTGAGTAAAGGTAATAATAGTGTACTTTAACTTTCGAATATGTGACTAACTTTACCCTTAAGAACCCATACTTAACTAAATTTTTCATAACTTCATAAAGACGGAAAATACCTGCATTTAAATATCGCAAAAACTTGAAAGACATTCCTTCTTATGCAACATGCGAAAGTGCTGTTTGAAAGGGGTAACATGTGTTACATATGAATGAAAATTTTCCAAAGGGAAAATAAAAATAATCTCTTTCTTCGGACGATTTGTTATTTCTTTGTTATAACAATTGGTTCCTCCGACGTTCTTAAGCTGTTCACCCATCGTTACTATCGACAAGAAAAAATAATTTAAAGAAAAAAGCCTCAAGTAATTATTGTCTTTTGAACTAATATAAATTATTATTGAACAAACACTTACCATCGCCTGAGGGTGCATTAACATCTGAGGTGCACACTCCTGACATACACCACTAACGTAAAAGAAAATATAAAAATAAATTCAACAACAAAAACAATTACAACAATGTACCCATACACGATGATCAAGAAAGAAAATTGGTATAATTTGTAAAGTTTGTGTCTTGTCAATTGTTGTCTAATTTTCTTTCTCGAAATGATAGTCTTGGTGTTATAACCAACTTTATCTTTTTATTTTATTATTTATGACCATGTAACGGCGTTTAAGCATTCTTTGCCATTTGACTATATAAGTGTTACATTTGACTATAAGTGTTATACCAACAAAGTTGTTTTTGGGCTCTCGCACATTTCAATAATTGATTATATGACCTCTCTACCGTTAGTCTCGTGGGACATGATGAAGTTTATTTGGAAGCAACTAAAGCAATTAATGTTTCCCTTGATCTGATTTACACTTCTGTTTACCTAAGCTGTATTTGGCAGAATCTTTCGGAATCATGGGTCCTCAATATTGGACAACTTCGTAATGTATTTGACTTTTTTCACTTTTTTTATTCGAGCGTTACTGATGAGATTTTTTTGTAGACAAACCGCGCGTCTGGCGTAGAAAATTTTAAACCTGGTATATATGATAATTTATTTCTGTCAATTTAGTCATGAAGATCCCATACGTTTTATGTACTGTTAACCAAATAATGTTTTCGATCTATTTGATTTCGGTTGCGAATATATCATATTAAGATTTCACTTGAATGAATACTGCAACACACATAGATAATTGGGGAAATAAATCCCCGAAAAATTGGCTGGAAAGATTGAAAACGCGAATAAAGATATCAACGTAAGAAAGTTGTTTACAGTATCCGGTTTCTCGCGTATGTCAAAAATTTAATTTACTACAAATTATCAATACATTTTAAAAACAAAAATAACCATCATATTCACTGAAATTTCTTACACTGGTTGTTCAGACTAAACTCAAATGTCTGAATGTGTTACATTAAAGTCTTAAGCGTTCTGATGACGTCACATCAAAGTATTATATTTGTTGTACCCACTATTTGCAAGAAACAAAGCACGGACATATATCAGCATAGACTCAATTAATCAACAAGCACAGTCTTGTGGAACTTTCCCTTATTCTTGCACAAGATCATGCTGTACGTCTTGCAGTTTGCGATGCCGATAACGACTGCATACGCGTTTATCAGAACCTTCCCAAAAATGTTCTTTTGGGTTCAAAATTGGTGATTTGAACGGCTAGTGGAGAATGTTACGTTCTGGTTTTCGTAGAAAGTAGCACGAGATGTAAGCGGCCGAGCGATGTCATTCTGAAAAACATCTCTACGGAGGTTCATTACAGGCAGCAATTGTGGTATCAAAATTGTCGACATCAAGGACGCATTTCCTACTGAAATCTCAATCCGGCATCTGTAGACATGGATACGACCATCATATCTCTAAACCAGACCCGCCTCAATTTTGTAAGTCCTACCATCATACATGTACTCTGTGACACCATCCGAATTTGGCAAGTCGATATCGGCGTTGCAGTACTGCGTCAAAGTAAGGACGTCTGGTTTGTAAGCCGATTTCATTGAAACAGTTTCTGATGTGCCGATATACATCAAAGACCTGGGTCATTTGATGCTGTTTCTGTTGCAGTAATGGTCCGGTTTTTCATGGGAAGTATATATATGTTGCGATCTTGGGCTGCTGATGGGATCAAAGATCGACAAGAACGTTGACGGTAAGATGCGGAACTGGATTGCTGGTAGCGGTCAAAAGTATCAAAGTCGTTCATCAGTGAATATTAGTCTAGCGCCTGCATTCTGTAACTCACCGGCCACAAGACGAACAATTACGATGTTTCAGGCAGCTCTGGCTAGTCTTGATATATCAGATTAGAGAAACAATTTAACGACTGAATTCATTAGACGATTATGTGTCTTTTATACATGTTTAACCCGCTTAAAGAAAAAGCATGATTAGCATGATTAGCACGTGCAACTACCAAAAGTATCTACTTACGCCTTCCCCCTGTCGCTTTAAACATGCTAACCCGAAAATGTCCTGTGTAATCAACAGCCACTATCAGATGATTAAAATCAATTATTGGACATTTGAATTTTAATATGGTTATGTTTTGATATCTCAGTTTCTATTTTGAAAAAGAAATATTGTTGTTGCGTCTGTTTAGATGGAGAGTATATATGTATTATGATATAGGACTTTATTGGACATTTAAATTTTAATATGGTTATGTTTTGATATCTCAGTTTCTATTTTGAAAAAGAAATATTGTTGTTGCGTCTGTTTAGTGGGAGAGTATATATATATGTATTATGATATAGTGCAAAGATTTTATTGCAGTGATTTTTTCAAAAATATTCCGAAATAACTTCTGTGATTTTAATTTGAATACAGTATATTACTTTTTGTTTGGCTGGCAAAAATTATTTTCAAATAAGTAATAGTAATTCAACACGATTGTAATGAAGTTTATAGCATTCTACCTTATGATTGCCGCACAATGTTCCATCTGAGGCTGTCTGTCCGTAACAGGTGGATGAATTAGATGATGGATTTGAACACCACAGCGTTGTACATATGGATGAAAAGTTTCCACTATACAATCCCTGAAACCAATATCCAAATAGATTTAATTATTGAGTAAAAACAATTATAAATGAATTGTTTCTTGTCACTTTTGTCGGTGTACTCCAGAGCGTGTGAGAGGGCGCTTATTTAGTATCTTCATTAACTCTTTCAGTTGAAACATATAAAAGTTGACAATACAACATGCATGGCCTTTAAGAAGAAAATGAGTTATCTAGACTGACTTTTCTCCAACATGTTCAGTGACACATATAGAAAGTGATTTCATTCTTTCGTGAATTCCATCTATGTCTATTTCTCTAATGTATAATCCATGTTATAGTGCGAATATCAAATGCAAAGTTTTAAATGTGCCTTACTATAGTTATAGTGTTATATATGTAACGACAAGATACATTAAATGTTCTCATAACTAACATAGTATGAACTATTCAACAGTTTAAAAATATGCGTTTTCTTTGTAATATACTCATATATAAAAGAAGCTATTCAAAAACTACAATACGTAGTTTATATCCTTACCATTAAATATGTACGGCATGTATTATAGCTGCTTAAATCTGGCGTTTTACTTCATGAATTGCAGCTTATACAATTACTATTCGTTAAAATTGCAAAAGGAATACCTTCTCCATGGCCTCAATTTTGTCTATGTTATGTCCGTTTGTTGTTTTTCAAATATATGTCAATTTTGAATACCATTTCCAAAGTTTGTCTTTAATCTTTTTAGTTTTTCGTCATGTTGATGTATGTCTTTCTTCGACGTGTTTATTAATGACCCATGGTATGATTTAAAACAATAGTTAAGTGATAGAATGTTTACAACAAAAAGAACTAGCATACCTCTTGTGATTTAATTGTTTATTACATGAACTTTTTCATATGCAATTTTCAAAGTCGTTTTTATCAAAAAATTAGCTAATAAGCCAGAATTTTTTTATTTTTTTTGTATAGTACCTTCTATGCTAGAAACTGATTTTGATTTTGATTTACATACCCTGCACATGAAGGATCCAGCTCCACGATTACTTTCACATTGTGAATCTGCGTCCGGAGATTGGTTTGGCACACTGCTAGTGGACACAAGTGGCATGGCACTAGTTGTTTCTAAAGTGCTTAAAGTTGACGAAGATTGTGAGGCAGTTGTAGTTGGTAAATATGGGGCGCAAGAATAACAACAAGTTATGGCATTATTAGGACAGTTATTTGGAGCGTTTGTCACCATATCTGCACATGTCCAGCCGTTGGAGAATACTGCTCCTGGCTTATCTCCATATAAACAAGATTCTACAAGAAACATTGGTCATAAGTACATGTAATTATACATTAAGAAAACGTTTTGGGGTATACATTAATAAAACAGCAATGCTACAGCGCTTTATAAGACTAATTTTTGAAATCTTTGTGCGCCAATTTTTACAAACAATTTTTTAAGTAAATTCAAATGAAAGAATAAAAAAGGGACATTTCATCTCGGTTCATTTAAAAAATGATGAAACTGGTAAAGGACAAACTACTAAAACACTAAGTTTTTCAAAAAAGTTATATATATTAGGTTATATTGCTTCCAATATATTTAAAATGTGTTGACTTTTGCTTTCCCAACTTTTGACTCTATGTCTTACTTATCACGGTATATGCATAAAACACGCTAATACTAGCTAATATTTGTGTTGTGTGTCAAGATAAAAACGGTCAAGACATTTACACTCTTACGTACTGAAATGGGTATCATACGGGTGTATAAAACTTATGCTTCACCAAAATTTTTCCACATTTTTGGAAAAATAACGGGCGGTGTCAAGAACGAGAGAAAAAAGACGGGGGTTATTCATTAATAACATATTTATGAGCATCTGTTACGCAGACATTTAATTCAGGTCAAACACATCATGATAGTATTAATTAAAAAAAAAATATTATTATAGTAATATGTGACCTATAAAAGAAAGCATAGGTTCAAAAGTTCCGTACAAGTTGAAACCTTCTATTATTAAATAAAGATGGGAAAGACCAGCCCTTAAATATCGGAATATATGCACCATTTGCGCCAGTCCCAATTCATGAACCTCTGGCCTTTGTTATCCTTGTATGTTTTTTTTTAATTTTGATTTATTTTTATGTTCTGGAGTTTAGAGAAGGACGTGTGGTACTCTTGACTATAATTTTCCTTCACTGATACAAATAAGAAATTAATTCTTTCTTTCATTGATTCCATCAATAGCAGTTATCCAATTTAAAATGGCTGAAAACAGAGTTCTAATGGTTCCACGGCTTGATACAACAACCATTCCTACTTAGCATATCATGAACAGTTAAATAGTTTACGAATACTCGTTAATTTTGGTATAAATCGTTATCAAAACTAGTTGTTATAAGTGTTCGTTTGGAACAAATAACGGGCGGTGTCAAGAACAAGAGAAAAAGGACGGGGGTTATTCATTAATAACATATTTATGACCATCTGTTACGCAGATATTTAATTCAGGTCAAACACATCAATATAGTATTAATTGAAAAATATTTATAATTATAATAATATGTGACCTATTAAAGAAAGCATAGGTTCAAAAACTCCGTACAAGTTGAAACCTTCTATTATTGAATAAAGATTGGAAAGACAATCCCTTAAATATCGGAAGATATGCACCATTTGCGCCAGTCCCAATTCACGAACCTCTGACCTTTGTTATCCCTGTGTGTTTTTTTTAAATTTTGATTTATTTATATGTTTTGGAGTTTAGAGTGACGCCCATTTTCGCTGAACTGATAAACATTAGTTTGTAGGAGCCAGGTGAAGCCCGCTTCCAGGTGCGAAATTTCTCCTTGTGTTGAAGACCCATCAGGGGCCTTGAGTTGTATTCTGCTCGTTGATCGGGTTGTTGTTTCCTTGTTTCCGTTTCCTTTCTTAATTTACCATGTATAGGTGTTGTTTGAGTTTCGATGAAATAAAGGCGATATATGACAGGCAAAATAGTTTTTATTATTGTTCAAACATGTAAATACAATGCGAATTTGTTATTTGGATCAGTGTGGTACTTCATGAAAAAGATTTTCTACATAGTCGCGTTACCAAAAAATATTCAGGCATTACATAGTATATAAAACGGAAAATGAAATTAAAGGAAAACTGCTGAGATTCTTTCAATTTGTATTGTTTAAAATACTAACCCGTATGAGCAAAAATTAAAAAAAAGTGGCTACAAGAAGATCACCATTGCTTTCTTTAGAAATGCCGAATGTTTGTTTAAAAAAAAACTGTAATTTACATTATAATTACGTTGTCAATAAAAGTAAGCATATTTTTTTTCAGATATGAAAAAGTTCCAAAGTGGTCAAAGAGAATTCAGGTAGTTGTGAATTTTCAAAGTTAGGAGGAAATATATGTATTTACACTTCAATAGCTAACTTGTTACATGGTTAAGGGGTCTCAGTTGTAAAGAAGAGACGTCTATCAAACTACTACGCAAAAAGTTTAAAATAAAATAAGCGTATTAATTGGTGTAAGAAATGACATATTGAATTGCATACTCATGTTTGGTTTTAGTTATTGCGATTATCAAGTTTCAAACGACGTCCTTAACTTTTTACTTAATATTTCAATTAAATCAAAAGAAAAAATAATTTTTAAGAACTTCGCTTTCTATCTCTTAAAATGTTTTAATTGAGGTCAATTTATTTTTTATACCAGAAGTTTAACACTTACCATCACCTGCGGGTGCATTTACATCTGAGGTACAAACGCCTGATATACACCACTAACGAAAAAGAAAATACAAAAAATAGCGTCAAAAAATATTTAAACTGTATGCACTGACTTTTAAGGTTTCATTTTGAAGACCACGCGACTGCACTAAACATGAGCTTGAAAATTCAAACAATGAGAGTCCTGACACGACATTTTGGTTTGGACTTGAGGGACATGACGATATTTGACATTTATTTTAATATATATCTTGCTTAGCTTTTATTTTGCATGTGCTATCTATGTATTAATACATGTATGTGATGTCTGTCTGTCTGTATGTTTGTGTTGTATATGTATCTGATGTTATTACATTTATTTTTTTTTTATTAATATCAATTGGTTAAAGAGCTCTTAAGGATGTTCGCTACTCTGTTTCAAAATAACAAGCTTTTTTAAAGATTTTTATAAATTGATAGTATATAAATAAAGGAACTAAATAAGCAGAAAAAAAATGAAGGGTCCGTGTGCTTGTTTTCGAGATATAAGCCATTTAAAATTTGGCGGGCAATAATTCTCTCTAGATTTTTCATACATTTAACACTGGGACTTTTTTCCTTCCAAAAAGTATAATAAAAATAACAAGGATTTTATAAGATTTTCAAATATAGCTTTTGAAATTATGAAAAGAAAAGTAGGGGTTAGCGGGCAAAATTTTTGAATGGCACTATTTGGATAAAACCAGAGGATTCCGAAAATCTGGCAAACATTCAAAACAAGGGAAGCAAACTTCCGTAAGAGTTCATGTTCTTTGTTATTATGTATATATGCAACCCGACTTTAAATAAAGATTACTTACTTACTTACTTATGACGACGTTTTCCTAGTTTGTTACAAAAAATGTATTACCTAAATAAGGCTAAGTTGTCCATTCTCTTGTTAATAGTTCTGTTATGTTCTTTGAGTCATTAGGCTCCTGACGTTCTGCGTATTTCAAGCCAACTAATTTTTGCTAGCGATTTGTTTTTCGAGACATTTGTATATAGTAAATGACGCAATAATGAATCGTTGAATTAGGTATTATGTTCTCTTTAGATTATGTATTATCTTCTCTTTAGATGACTTCAAAAAACATTGAAAACAAACTTTAAAAGAAGAGGTCGCTAAATTGAGTAGAAAGGGCAAACTGCGAAGAAAAGTATCAGCGAAAGAAAGCTGTAAAAGTTATTTTGGTTTTCGAGCCTACCAAGCTTAAGTTAATCTAAAATATATTCTTGTGTACTTAAATCGTTTATTATAATACATGTATTAAAACTTGCATTTCAATAAGTGCATAGTTTTTATTGCAGTGAATTTGCAAAGATATTCCTGAATAAATTATGAACTTCCAATTTAATTGCATATTCATTTTGCTATGAAATAATATTTTCAAGTATAAAAATCAACAATACTTCACGATTATAATTAGTGTTGTCTTATGATACCTTATGATTGCCGCACAATGTTCCATCTGACGCCGTCTCTCCGTAGCAGGTGGACGACGAAGGGCTTAAACAATACAGTGTTGTACATATTGATGAAAAGTTTCCATTATATAATCCCTATAACACAATCAAAGTAGAGTTCATATTTTATTAAAAATTACTGTATCAAGTACTTATGCTTGATGTACTGTACGTCATGTGAGGAGAGGATATTTTCGTGGAGTTTCGTAAGCTTTGAGTTGATACAGAGAGAATAATAGACAATAAAACAAAAAATACGTCGAAGAAGGACGTGTGGTACTCTTGACTATAATTTTCCTTCACTGACACAAATAAGAAATTTATTCTTTCTTTCATTGATTCCATCAATAGCAGTTATCCAATTTGAAATGGTTGAAAACAGAGTTCTAATAGTTCCACGGCTTGATATATCAACCATTCCTACTTAGCATATCATGAACAGTTAAATAGTTTACGAATGCTCGTTAATTTTGGTATAAATCGTTTTCAAAACTAGTTGTTATAAGTGTTCGTTTTTGTAACACATTCGTATATAAAAATAAGGAGATGTGGTATGGTTGGCAATGAGACAAATAGCCACCAACGTTCAAGTGAAGTGGTTGTTACCGGAATAATTTCATTTTGAGTTTATTTTTATTAATCTATAGATGATGTGAGCAAGGATTACTTAAAAAAGGATGTGTGGGATCGAGATTGATTTTACCAAAATATACTGTAATATACAATATCTTTTTGGGTAAAATCTTGGCTTATAGATAATGATCAACAACTATAAAATTGCCATTGCAGGTTAACTATGTCAATTTTGACATGTTTACAGCGTCAAGGCAGCATGAAAAACGACCCATTTGCACTAAAGTGTTCAGATTTAAACAATCTGTTCATTTTATTAATAGAATAAACATAATTTTGTCAGACTTTTTTACTGTTTTGTTTTTAATTTCAAATTAATTTAATTATGTAATTTCGTTTTTTATATAGATTAGACTGTTGGTTTTCCTGTTTGAATGGTTTTACACTAGTCATTTTTGGGGCCCTTTATAGCTTGCTGTTCGGTGTGAGCCAAAGTTCCGTGTTGAAAACCGTACTTTGACCTATAATGGTTTACTTTTACAAATTGTGACTTGGATGGAGATTTGTTTCATTGGCACTCATACCACATCTTCTTATATCTATTAAAAATCCTTATTATCGTATACGATTTTGAAGTAAAAAAAACATTTACTCTGCACATTACAGATCCACCTCCTCTTGCACTTTCGCATTGCGCGTCAGCATCAGACAGTTGAGTCTGTTGAGTAGACACAATGCCTGATGTCGAAGAAACAGATGATATAGTTGAACCTGTTCCAGGTGAACTAGACGTAGTTGAAGGTGGTGATGGTGTTGATCCCGATGTTGTTGTTGAAGGCAAATACGGGGAACATGCGTCACAACATTTAGTCGGAAGATTTGGGCAATTGTATGAATAATCCTGTGCAATTACTGAACAGTTCCATGGTTGATTAGAATAAATCGGACCTCTCTTGTCCCCATATAAACAGGAACCTAAAGAAATAAATTTAAAAAAGGCTTATTATCGAAAGTGCAATATAGTAGCTTGATTCTTGTGTTTACATTATTTCAAGCTTTTCTAGACTTTGGACGATTTAGATATATATATATATATATATATATATATATGTATTACACAGACACCTATCTTTTGTTGAAGATTGTATGTTGCCCTCTAGATGTGTTTAGATGATATATGTCGCACGGTCGTATTGAAGTTTACCCCACATCATTTGATATAACGGATTACAAATGTGACAAGTTTTGTGATTGGATAACAACACAGAGATGTCAGTATATATTCAGGAAACTGCCGGGGTATATACGACGTTTTTACCCCAATTGGAACCTCAACAACATCATCATAACACCTGTTACTATGTGACGTATCTTAAGTTATACAGAACACTTAAAGAATGTCAGAGGCTCACAGAGGGAAAATAATGACGTGCATCCGTCAATAATACAATTTACACACCAAATACTTAAAATTAATGTTTTTAAAGTGTTATTATAAATTATTATATACACGATACAATTATTTTCACAGCAAATTACAAAATTATTCACGTATGCGGGAAAAATCAGGTTGGGTTTTTCACTGTATTTTTTGTAAAAAATAGTCAAACAAACATACAAACAGTAAACATGAAATCTAAAATCATTTGTTTAAAAAATATTCTTAACAATAACAAATGTTTGTCGAAATAAAAAAAAGTGTATTTATATGAATTACTCGAAACATTACGAAACAAAACACATGTAATGAATATATATACTGCATTGTGAATGTTTAACAAATACCTGGTACTGAAAAAAAACATTAAGGCAGGGGTAATCCGTAATATATGTGTAATTCAGGTCACAGACAGGATATATAATGTGACATTCCCGGTTAAGGGTTTATATCCCCTTCGCCTACGGCTCAGGAAATATAAACTCTAAGCCGCGAATGTCATATTATATACCCTGTCTGAGACCTGAATAACATATATTATTCTCATAAATTCATTTTGATTTTGATTTTGATGTATATTATTTTATTAATGAGTTCTATTCCGCAAAATTAATCACCATTATACGTCATTTAGATAACACATAGCATATTCGAAAACGCAAAACGAGTTCATTTGATTATGTAACTCTGCATAAAACATATAACGTATGAATCAAAGGGTCGTAGGATATTTGTGATGGTTAGATTTGTCTCCTCGGGCAGTCTAAATAATACTAACCACCGTATGAATCAACGTGTTCAAACACGCGTATTCATTGCAAATGACAGTCTGGTCACTTGCATCAGAAGTAATTTAAAGCTTTTCCCCATAAACATTGTTTAATTTGACAATCCTTCACATGTAAGAAATTCATGGGGGAAAAAACATTTTATATAGCATTATTTGTGTACAACTGCATAAAATTTCAAATATTTTCTTTAAGATAATCTTACTACTGCCTGTAGGTGCTGTCGCATCATAAACACAGCTTCCAGTCACACACCACTATAAAGTAAAATATGATTTGTATAAGCAATGTACTGCACATCCTAAAGTCAACTACAGAGAGCATAATTGTAAAATACATTAGCTCTGTGCACCGAAAACAAGAAAATATGGCAATGGCGTATGGTGCATCAGTAGATGGTATTAAATGTATTTTAGCCAGTACTGGTGGACAGCAAGCCCGCGATGATATTGAATGTCCCGTGGCCAGGACTGGCAGACAGCAAGTCTGCAAAGATATAAAAAAAAAACACGTCCTGATATCATTAAATGTCCGGCGGCCAGTAATGATAGACGACAATTCCACGACAGAATATTTAATATCCTGTAGCCAATACTGATAGACAACAAGTCCGCGACCGTATCGAATGTTCTGTATCCATGACTTTTAGACAACAAGTCCACGATAAGATGTCTTGTAGATAGTGCTAGTGAACTAAAAGCTTTCGAAGGTATAATTAGCCAGTGCTGGTTGACTACCATTCTACGAGTGTTTACTAGTCTTACAACCAGTGTTAGTGGCGGACAATTCCACAAAGGTTTCATTGATGGTATCGCTAGTCTTGTATCCAGTGCTGTAGTGCAGGACTGCAATGCCTAAAAGTATCACCAATATTGAATCTAGTGCAGGATGAGTACAATTTCAAGAGTAATCACTAATCCTGTCGACTGTGTTGTTTGAAGTCAAATAACAGAGGAAAATCATTAAGTCAGTGAGTGTGGAGTATCACTAGGTATATCACATTGATGTATCAAATTAAGTCCGGTTTTACCTTATTTTGTTTTTGTATCCATGAACATCCAAAGTCAGAAATCTTGTAAAGGTACAGCATGTATTTGTATTTTCATTAATTAAAGTGAGTGTTGATGGCAGACTGCTTGTAATCCACAAAACATTCATTCCTTAGTTTGTCCAGACAGGAAATAGGATGTTTATCATGGCATATGGTTTCAAAGCTGGTCTATTGTTCAAATTATTATAATGATTATTATTATTATTATTATCATTATTATTATCATTATTATCATTATTATCATTATTATTATTATATTGTTGTGGTTTATGTACTAGTTATTCTGTCTCATTGCATTGTCATAAACCCATGCTCATTCAGTCATATCTGCTAGTGTACAGAAACTTGCATCGTTTTCAATTAAGTTTCACTTCAAGATTTGTCATTTTCTAAAAGCTTACTTTTTGATTTCCACACAACGTTCCTTCAGCAGCTGTTGTTGTTGTACAATAGCCTGGTTGGTCTGGAAGTGCACACCACATAACGGTACATATTGATGAGAAATCACCAGAATAACGATCCTAAAATATATGCACATGTATGTTGAAGTTGGCAATCGTGTTTGAGATAGAAATATACTGCCATACAAGGGAATGTTAGAAAATGTAGCTTTTTAATAACACCCAAATAAGAAATGCACTAGATTGGTTAAAACATATTGTATAGTTAAAAATTCATCATATCAACAAGGCTTCAAATTTTGTTCGTCAGACGTGTAAATTTGGTACAGTTTATGATGTTAATTCGATTAGGTCAAAAGTTTGGCTATGGTATTTCTGAAGGTTGTTCCCAAAATATCAACTTTCAAAAACTGTATTTTAATTTGTTTGATTACATACCGTACACAAATACGACCCTGGTCCGACTATGTTTTCACACTGTAAATGTGCATCGTACACCTGACCTGCTACATCATTCTCAAATTCTGACAGAGCTGTGTCATTAAAGCCAGGACTTAGAGATAGCATACAATTCGCTGAATTTCTAAAAAGGTAATATTTATATTATTACATTCTGGTTAGGTTGTTATATTAAAGCTAGAGTTGGAGTTGGTTAACTTATTTTGTTACATCTTAAACCATTTAATCAGATCATATCAATATTTGATTCATCTCTAGCTAGCAACACAAATAACACGATCATTGTTATTTTAAGTCTCTGTATTGCAAATCATCGTTCAAGGTGGATGTGTTTAGTTTACTGTTATATTTTCACATACACAAAAAGCTACCAAATGTCAAAAATACCTCTAAAATCATTGAAGTTGGTGCAGAGTCAAATAATAAAGTATTTTTTTATGAATATTTTTTAGGGATGTCAACTCGGTGAAGATTAACTAATCGAATACTCGTTGGATTTACCGAGCGATACTCGAGTACTCGCTCGGAAAAACATATACAAAATAGAAACACAAAATTAAACCCAAGTTACGGATTGTGGGGAGTTGTCTTATGGACGTTAAACCCTCAACATTAATACCTTGGACTAGATAATAGTCCCAGGAATTTTATACCATAATTAATTGCTCATTTACTACATGTACTAATTATGTAAACAGGCAATAATCTAATCATTTAATTAATAATCTATAGAAAATTGATTACTAAATCAACAGTATTTGGGAATCGTGAAGAAACACATTTATGATCAACAAAAGGGTGATGATTAGGACTTTAACCATTCTCTGAGGGTCGACAAATGGTGCAACAAATTTCTTCTTATTTAGAAATATTATCTTGTCAACTTCTTATTGGACAATTCAATTTATCAACTTTGTTACGTAACTAACAGTTCTGCTGACGAATATATTAGCTAAAAGTGCAGGCCTTGGAAAGGTGCTCTTGTTCAATGCGCATGGGGGATTTTGAATGACAATTAATCTCAAACATTCGAAACGTATTTTTATTTTGATTTCCCGGAAAGCGCTCTTAATACAAAAAAAAATCTTTAAGAAGGGAACAACATTCTAACAAAAACAAAACGATTAGTCGAGTATCATTTTGGAATTCGATACTCGGTACTACCGAGCGATACTCGATTACTCGAGTACTCGTTGTCATCCCTAATATTTTTCATTCTTATTTGTTTTGTATGTTTTGCTTGCTTTAGCTTTTTATCCGATGGAATTAAAGGAATTGTTCATTACTTTATTTCATTTCTACTCTATAAAGAGATCGACTTGGTAACATTATTTGTACAACTCGACTGCAAAGATCCGACCAAAATAGTAAGATGCATTATCAATGTATTTGATTAACATACGTTTCTAGCGTGTCGATGTAAGTGGTAAAATAATTTGTAGAACATGACGAAAATGTCCATGGATTAGTAGCTATAGCACTTCCAGGTGTTTGTGGACTACTAGAAGACGCCATTATGTATGCATCGCTAAAACTGCAACCGTTTCCTTCCCCGTCATGCGATGCACTCAAGCTGAAATGGGAAAAGTAAATATATTTATTTTTAAATTCTATTTTATAACTAAATGAATAATCGTTATTGTACAATGTGCTGTGCAACAATTTGCATACCTTACAGCATTTGGTTAAATTTCCCTGACTATTAGGTACGAGAAGTCCAGGTAGGGTGTTTTTTTTTTTTTTTTTTTTCTTAAGTTATTCTATTCTTTTTATTCATATTTTGTTAAAGCAAGATGTATGTGCTTTGATGAATTCATTTTAATATAATTTGCTGTTGCTGTGGCATCATTATCAGCAAACAAACAAAAAACAATGAAAGAGGACGTTATGGTATACGTCAAGGAGACAGTAACCCATCGATTATAAACAAAACGACATTAGAATTCCAAGCATTTCTTGCATTTCAAGTTTTGTCGTCCTCTTTACTTTGAATGTGACCTACTGAATTAGACTTATCAAGCTTACATGAGCAACATGACGGCTGCAAACTGTGGATCTGGATCTGTTTACCCTTTCGGGGCACCTGATATCTACCCCGGTATTTGGTGGAAAACGTGTTGTTCAGTTTTTAGTTTTCTATATCTGACTTTGTTTACTGCTGTTTTGGCATTTTTTTTGTTATCCCTGATACTGTGACCTTAATAATATCCTCAATGAACAAATATTTTTCATTTTCTTTCAACAGAACTGACTTACCTATGTCCCAGTTCATGGGCGGCTACTGTCAACATGACAAAATTGAAATGGTCCTCTACAATGGACTGACCAATATTGGTACACACTGCTCCAACATAAGCAAGCCCTATATTACAAATAAAAAAAGGGGAATATAACATTCATGTAATTAGTATTGCAATTTGAAATCAGTTTGAAGTAAAACTACTTTATCATGTGAACGTGCAAACCGAAATAAGATTCTGAAATTCTTATAAAAAAGGGTAATACTTTGTGAAAATTGAACGTGATATCTAAAGTAAGAACTTTCTAATTGTTGAAATATATCAACTGAAATTTATCCAATGAATTGTATCAATGTTAAATTTTTATTCAATAATTTTAGAAAACTTATCCCGAGCACCCGATATCTTTCCCGGTAGTGGGGTTCCTGTTTATTAGTCTTTAGTTTTCCATGTAGTTTATTGAGTGTTGTTTGACTCTTTTTCGTTTTTCGTTCATTGGACACGGCATTGTCAGTCTGTTTTCGACTTATGAGTTTGAATGTCCTTCTGATATATTTATCTTTTCTTTTTGTTTTGCTACAGATGAATAGCCCATTTCCATAATGGTTTCAATATCAGATTATTCTAAAAGGGACACAACTCGTTAGTAGGATAAATGGTTCTCCTTCTCTGTACAAATCAAACTGTGCGAACATGTTGTATTGTGCTAGATCTGACAATTATTTTAACGTTATAAGTGAACACAGTTGTGGTTAACATGGATTGATTACACAATGAAAATTTGTAACATCTTACATTAATATAAACATCATTTTACCATAAGATTTAATTGGCAGGTATACATTGTGTTCTATGTGTTTTCGTTTTGCTTTTTAATCGGAAAGAAAGTCGGCTATTGCAAAATATAAACCGGTAACATGAAATCATGGATAGCCTGGAAATGTATGTGTAATTGCTTCTTTGACTTGTGAACTTATTGTAATACTGTCTTTTTATCACGATTCGCAACTAACTGGATGATTTGGGGTAGTTGCAGTTATCGTTTACATTCATCTCTTTTCTATCTTGGTATAAGAACTGTGAATGACTATTCTACATATGGAGCAGGATCTGCTTACCCTTCCGGAGCACCTGAGATCACCCCAAGTTTTTGGTGGGGTTCGTGTTGCTTAGTCTTTAGTTTTCTATGTTGTGTCATCTGTATTATTATTTGTCTGTATGTCTTTTTATGTTTGGCCATGGCTTTGTTAGTTTGTTTTCGATCTATGAGTTTGACTGTCTCTCTTGTATCTTTCGTCCCTCTTTTCTAATGACGGCTGTTTAACATACTCTTATAGTTGATGTGTTTCCCTCAGTTTTGGTATGTGACCCGGATTTGTTTTAGTTAAATCGATTTATGACTATTGAACAGCGGTATACTACTATTGACTTTATTTACCTGCATTCGATGTAGATCCACTTGAAGTTAAGTCGTATCTAAAAACAAATGAATAATATCTAATCCTTGAAATACAAGTCATTTACATGTTGAATATGATTACACAATGTCATATGAATAACATGGAAACCATTATCACAAATAAATCTACAACAAGGCAATGCTGCAAATATTGCATGTCGACAATACGTTAAATAACTAATTGTTTTTCTCATGTTTAAATTCTGTAGTATAGGTTGTAATTAATTCGAATGGTGTTAATGCTTGGTAATATAAATGTATGTTTGGAAATTCTTAAACTTATAATTTTCATTGGCAATGTTGCACTACGTCAGGGTCATTGCTATTGTTCTCCAGCTGTTGGCAAGGACAGTTAAGTAAAATCTTCATTTTGGTCGGTAAGATAGACGTGTACATATCCTTTAAATGTTGGTTGCATTAGTTTCTTTAGTTGTGAGTTACAGTGCAATAAGATATTTATTTTCTTCAAGAATGTAGTTTTGATGAACATTACCGGAACATTGTTGAATGTGAACATAAACAAACGTTTATTGACGATTTATTCATGAAATGGAAAAGTTAACTACAATTGGACCAATTGATTCCTTTGAATATAATGCTATAAATCTTTTGTTTGTACATAAAAAAAACCATATAATGGTTAAATAGAAATATATTTTAAGCGGACTGAAATCACCTTGTAAAGAGCATTGCATGATCATGTCCAGGTAGGTTACCAGTTGTTGATTGCACCCAGCTCTTAAAATTAGTAAGTGCGTCTGACGAATCGACTTGATATGGACTAACACTGGTAACTTTGATTGTTTCTGTCCATGCGGAATCCGATGGAGTCTGCAGAGAATAAAATTAACAAAATTGAAAATTGACATAGTTATATAAAAAAAAAACATTTCACATTGTTTTCGACAAAACAATCATGAGGTAAGGCTTTACCCAATGAAATGTTATACACACAAATCATATCACGTGTAAATATTAATGTTTAGATTTTAAAACGGAGCTTTTGGGTAATGTTTTGCAGTTTTACACTAGATTCAAGTTGGAAGCCTAAAAGCAAATATGTAAGTCAAATTTCAAAAAAAAAAAAAAAAAGATTTCTGTCGGCCGAATGTCTAACGAATATCTGAAAGGATGTTATTTGGTAAATTTATAATATTTTTTTTAATTTTTGAATTGAAAAGGTAAGTTAGTATATCATTTCTCCTATGACAGCGATATCCGCACATTTATTTTGATGTTTAACAGAATAGATAACTGACGTAAACTTTAATTTATACAAACCTGAGCAATTATTATTCCGGCAAATTCAATTGCTATACTGTAAGACGTAGTTTGTATGTTTTTGTACATGGCATCCATCTGTAAAAAAATATTTGCAAATATTATATTCTTGATAATAAGTACAAATGTAATTAATTTGTAATATGGCTAGGAGGGAAAATAAAATATACATTTGTGTATTGGAATTTTTATTTGATCAAAGGGATTCTTGAAATTTTATTTAATTCCTTTCCGATTTGAAGGTCAGTGATTTTGGAACAATCAGGATGATCAAGATTTACTTCTTCCTCTATGCATTGCATATAAAATCGAAAAAAAACAAATAGGTCAATATCATCATTTTACCGTGCAATTTACAATTATGTTGATTCCAGGTATAGAAGTATACCATATCAAGATACATCACAATACGAAACGTCTACGGTAAGTTTGTGGGCTACACCACTGTCCCAGTTTAGGCAGAGCGTTTGACACAAACTAGTTTAACCCCGCAACATTCTGTATGTGCCTTTCCCAAGTCAGGAGCCTGTAATTTAGTGGTTATCGTGTGTTGCTGTGTATCATATTTGTTTTTCGGTCATGGCCTTGTACATAGATCAGGACGTTAATTTTCGCTTTTGAGTTGTTTTACATTTGTTATTTCGGGAACTTTTATAGCTGACTATACGGAATGGGTTTTGCTCATTGTTGCAGGCCGTACTGTAACCTATAGTTATAAACGTCTATGCCATTTGGTCTCTGCTGGAGATGTGTCATTGGCAATCATACCACATCTTCGTATTTTTGTATTTATCAAAACGGTTTCATTTTGTAATAAAGGGGCTGTTTACTTTCATCTTTTTGTGTTGCCAAATACTCAGTTTACTGTGTATGGTTTAGCATGTTCGTCAAATTCTGTCATTTAGTTATTTGGTCTATTTCTGATTTTTTTTCGACTTACGATTTTGATTAGAACCATGGAATCTTCCCTTTTTTATTAAGGCACGAACATGAAAATTACAAAATGTACACTGTCAAACCATTAACTGTAACTGTTTCATAACTATTTTCATTTCCTTTTAAGATTTTTTTCCAAAACGATAATCTCACCCCATTAATTATGAAAGCATAAAACTGTCGTATCGTTGTAATTGAATCTGTATCTTTTTCACCATGGGTTGGTTTTGTACTTTTGTCATACCAACTGAAAAAAAGTAAAATCACAAAAATACTGAACTCTAAGAAAAATTCAAACAGAAAGTCCATAATCAAATGACAAAACAAAAGCACAAATACATCAATGGACATCTGTCATATTCCTGAATTGGTACAGGCTTTTTCATATGTAGAAAATGGCGGATTAAACCAGGTTTTATACCTAGCTAAACTTCTCACTTGTATGACAGTTTTATTAACAGTTAGCATTTTCTCTTGTTTGACTTTTCAATCTCTGACATTCGCTTGTGAAAGCTTATAGAACAAAGCGCGTGGGGTGCACAACAAAGAAGAAGGTTTGTTAATGTCATTTTCCTCCACCCGATTTCGTAAATCAAAGTGTGCTATGGATCTATCAAATAACTTTCACTATTTTTTTTAAAAAACATGAGTCATAATATATGTTAAAAATTATTTCTGTTAACAAATTAACTGTCAGGAGACAGAAAACTTTAGCATAATTATTATGTTTTTCAAATTATATATGTTTTTCTGGAATGTTCTATAATGGATCAATTGATAGGCTAAGTCACTCATTTTTAACAAATGACAAGAGAAATACTTTATAAAGGAGATTTCCCACCCTATGCAGTAAAATATACAGCTACGTTGACATCTTCGCAAACATTTTTCTGATATAACCACTTACTACTGGTATATAGAATAGTCTACGACTATAAGTAGTTCTAGTCTGTATGCGCCTGCAGCGCGTTTATGTCTTTTTCTGGAATCAATTTTTATCTTTGTTTCTGTAATTTCTACAAAATACATTAAGAAATATCCGAAATCTAAGTTTTCGTTAAACGTATCATTTCATAGTCAAATAAAGAAAATCATTTCAGATGTCCGTATCGCATTAAAAATAATAACAATTTGTAACATCTGTCGAATGTTAGATATCGTCTTACTGTCAGTGATAGTCTAATACATGTAATATCCACGTGATAGACCAAGTGGTGGGCTTGTGTTTTTTCTGCTCTTTAGTCGGGTTGTTGTCTCTTTGACACATTCCCCATTTTCATTTTGAATTTTAATAATTTCCTAAGCAGTAAAGCTTTTATAGATTACATATATTGATTCTTTAAAATATGTGCTTAACTTAAGCGAGAGGCGAAAGATATCAAAGAGATATTTAAACTATTCAGTCGAAAACAAGTTGACAATGTTATGGCAAAATCGAAAAATGATCAAAAGACAAATATTAGTATACAAAACACAACATATTAACTAAAGACTGAGCAACCATTAAATACTGGGAATGATCGCATGTGCTCCGGAAGGAAAAGCAGATTCGCATGTGACATCAGTCGCAGTTTCAAATGTTGTACTTTTCACTGGTTTTGTTCAGTGTTTTTCTTTGAAAAATATTTCACAATAAAATACCTAATTTACCTTTTTGCACAAGGTCATTGAATGTAACATTTTGATTTTTTTCTTTAAAGATATGAAATTTGCTGTATCTTTGTCTCAATTGGGAGTTTGGCATTTCGTCTGGGGATTGTATTATGTATTCCTCTCCTTTTGCATGAAATACTCCAAACTGAAATGCAAAATTGTAATCTGTTGAATATAATTCATAAACAACAAGAGCTCAAATGTTCAACCAGTAAATATAAAATGCAAAATCTCAGAACTTGACAAAGTGCAACCCGAAACATTATTCTTGTTTGCAATGGTTAAGTATTTACTGTTACTTATACAAACGTGTTTATTCTTTCACAAATATTGCAAAATTGTTAACTTCGTTTTATTTCTATACTTTTCAAATTCACAAAATTGCATTTTATGTCTCTGAAACAAGAAAAAACTTAAACACACATATTTACATTCAATTGGTCATAAACATAACAAAATGGACCCACAGTTCATCATTGGTAAAAGTAAAAAGTACTCAAGCCAACCTTATGAATTAACTTTATTCTGAGGAATAAAATAAAATTTATCGATAAGACTTTGGTGTAAAAAAGACGGTAATAACCATTTATATTTGTAGAATAGATTTAAACAAAGGACATCTTAATGAATTTTCATTTGCTGTTCCACTAACCATGCTACTGCTATTAATCTGATCACTCTGCATTACAAATACAGCTCCAGTTTGAATATCTTGGTAAAAAATTGATTCCTAAAAACATAATACAGAATAATGAAAACTTTAAGGATTTAAATATTTTTAGAAAATAAGATATCGTACGGTCTTTTATCAATATAATGTCTTTCAAATAATCAGAAAAATCCAATACCTTGTCGACTTTTCCTAAAATAATTGCCAACGTTTATTAGAGGACATTTTGATGAACAAATCTGCAGCATCCAAATATGAATACAGTTCAATTAACAGTCGTGAAAGCTTTTATGTTTTGTATATCTTCTCTCTTTTTTTTTTGTGCATATATATTTCCTTCAAAGATATCTTTACTATCATTTGAAAAGTTCTACACTTTTATTTCTTGCTTGAGAGACATGTTCATATTTGAAATTTAGTCAGACATTTCACCTCGTTTTCTGAAACAGCATGTGACTTAATACTGCCACTTCGAACAGTCAAAGTAGGTACTTTGGTCTTTATATGGTCATTGCGTTTAAGATGCATATGTATCGATAATCCTTCCACTGTTAAATTAAGGTCAAACGTCTCTGGATGAAAGCTGTCGTCCGCAGATCTCCTAGTTCTCTTTCCTTCCTTTACATAAATGTAAATATCTTCTGTAAACATAAATAAGAAAAATAAAAAAAATATAAAGTTTAAATTACCCTATTCTTTATTTGATAATCATGTCACAGCGTGAGTGGTCGTCTTTTATAACAGGCTATACATGTATATGTATAACACACTAGTTAGCTGAGATGGTAAAGAACGGAGTTTTTATTCAAATATTCAGCCGAGGTAAAACCGATTTTGAAAAGGTTTTTTTTTCGAGATGGTAATATTCTGATTGATAATCCCTCTAACTGTGTTATTTATTTTACTGGACTGAATGCTTATTTTTGTTGTTAGATAAATGATATAAATCAAATTATCGTATTATCAATTATTGATTGATTTTAAAGAAAAAGTAGTAATGACCCACTGGGCCATTGGTTAGAGTGGAAAAAAGAGAGGAGGAAGATACCAAAGGGACATTTAATATCATAAGTCGAAAATAAAGTGACAACACCATGGCTGAAAAAGACACGACTAACAGACTCACAACAGTACACAAAACACAATATATAGAACTACAGACTGAGCTACACGAACCCTATCAAAATGATGAATGATCTTAGGTGCTCCGGAAGGGTAAGCGGATCTTGTTCCAAATGTGGCACGCGTCGTTTGAAAAAATCACCTTCATAGAAACTAATGAAAATCTTGAGTTTTAACATAAAGAATAAATAACATATTTTTCATTTGGGTTTGTGAAGACTGTGAGCGTCTAGACTCTTTAACAAATTGGAAAAATAAAACAAATCCTGTAAGTTAATTCGGACAATATTTTACGTCTTTTGATAGGCGGCTTATGACCCCATAATGTCCTCATCACTTAAAAAGTAAAATCACAAAATACGAACTCCGAGGAAAATTCAAAACGGAAAGTCCCTAATAAAATAGCCAAATCAAAAGCTCAAACACATGAAACGAATGGATAACAACTGTCATATTCCTGACTTTGTACAGGCATTTTCTTATGTAGGAAATTGTGGATTGAGAGTTTTCTTAATTCATCGATTTGATTTCCAATTTGATTTTGTATTACGATTAAATATTTGACATTTTGGCTTTCAATTTTTCTGATGGATTTGAGGATACGTAAATTATGCTATCAAAGGGTGCGGATTTTGATATATTTCATCTCCAAGGAGAACATGTGACCCTGTCATTTAACCTTTAGAATCAATAGGCG